AATCAATAAAAATCAAAAAAAGTGAAAAATAGGACCTTTAAAATCTTTATATAGAAATGTTTTTTGTGCTATATCTTCTGTACCATCAAAATACGTTTAATATGTGGAAACTAAAGCTTAAGAAATTACATACATATCTGGTTAAAATAAAACTAAAAAAATAAAACAAGTGAAAAATTTGATTTCCCCTAAAATTCGAAAGCTTAGTATTCCGAAGGTACATAAAATACAGAATCAAATAGCATGTCTATTTTAAGTCCTTTACTAGGCCTCTCTGAAACTGTTTGTTTAAAGTTCCTATCTTTTTCGGAACGTAAGTTATAATCCAAAAAACTTGAATAAGTAAAAATGTCGTGAAAATTCGTTAAAATCCCTAGAACTCGGAAACCCTGGAAATTTGGCACTGAGTCCGGAATAAAAGTTTTACCCATTTTCGGTCTTCTAACCAATGGTATATGTTGTTGTATACCTTTTGGAATCACTCTGTATATGGGAAATTGCTCATTGTGAAAAATATAAAATTATTCACAGGAATTAAGAGTAAAGGTCTATTTTTCTATAACAGTACATGATGGTATGAGAAATTGAAAATACACCTTCAACATGATGATAAGAAGTTAGCGGTATCATAGCCAAGGTTGCACACATGAAATTGCAAAAAGTAAAATTTTTTTGAACTGTCCAAAATCTTAATAAAAACAATACCGAAATGGTATAATGTAAGTTTTTACAACAGCACATTAATGGCCTATCGAACATTTTTGCAAAAAAGAGTTATTATGTTCAATAGAGCTGTAATGGCATAAAGAATTGTTCTATATTATCAAAATACTTAGTTTACTCCTTTTTTAACTCTATTTTAACATAAGTTCGTTTTTGTTCCTTCAAAAATTTTCTTAAAAATTAAATATTTTAATCACAATTTACTCGAACTTTCATTTTTGCAAGTAGGCCACTAATGTGGTGAGTGGCTCTACAGGGAGCATTAAATTAAATTTCTCTTACCTTAAAACATAAAAAAAAGGCAGCTTCATTGATTTTAAAGTTATTAGTGTTGTTCAACGATTAATTTTTCCTTAAAGAAAGGTGCAAGATTTTACATGGAACTATAAGCTACAAATTTTCCTTCAAAACCAATATGACAATGAATTCAATTAATTTTCCAAAAATAAGGTATCAATTACAGAAACTCAAATTTTATCTAAATTTTCATTTACACCAACTTAAATCAACTTATTTAGCAGTTATTTTGTTTGTTCTTACTTAATTATTCAAAACCTTTTTTGTGCTAATATTTGTGCATTAATGCCCTCTTTTGTGCTAATAAATATGTAAATTAATCCAAATGACATCCTTTATAAGAACTAAAAATAGCTCCAAAATTTTCTTTTATATAAATTTTAAATTACTCTTTTAATGAAAGGAAAAATAGAATACTAAACTTTTTTAGTTTTTTAATATTATAAAATGATTTGCTCAGATTCATGTGACGCCTCTTCTACTTTCGGTTTTCATTTTATTCAAAAATTTAGAACAAGGTTCATACATTCAAATTATTAATTGTAAATTGTATTTTTTAAAATCTATTCTGGACTATAACAAAAAATTACATAATTACGTCATAAATTACGTCATTATCTCAAGTACCTTGAGGATGCGATTTATTCGATGCATTACATAAATATATATTACAGTATATATACTGTAAACATTCCAGAAATAGTATTTTATGTAGAACAAGTTTAGATTCGATTTTACTGCAAATAGCGTTTCGAGGGCAAATTTCTATTAAATTTTTTACCATTCAGAATATTAAGCAGATATTTTTATAATTTTGGACGGGAAAGAAACTGTTGGTCACTTAAAAATCAAAGAATTAATTAAGAACTTTCCAGAACTTAAAGCCAGTAAAATTCACTTGTTTAATTATGATTTTTGCAACTTAATAATTTCAAAATTAAAAAAAACTTTTATTGAACATCAATATTTAGTTCTTTCAAAAATAATTGCATATTTCACGCGGCAAGTTTGCATTTTGCCTTATACAAAAATCGAGTTTTAAAACTAGGTATTTTATTATTAATTAATAATTTAAATCACTAATCCAACTTTTACTAGTGTGGCTATTCCATCCATTGTAAAATTAATCTTTGAAAACTAAACCTTAACTGAAATGTGGCCTAAATCTGACTTATTTGTAAATGTTGATCTTCATTTATTTTAGAATAAACGATTTATAATTTTTTATAATCTATTTAGCGAAAATAAAAATATGAAATGCAAAGTTCAAACAACTGAAAATAAAATAGAAAAAGCCAATAAAAAATTTTCAGACATGTTGACTATAAATCTGAAAATCAAATTATGTACAAACATAAAATTTCATAATTGTAAAGCACCACTATTTTCTTTGGTTTATACCAATATACCATAAAAATTTAAAGCAAAAGGATATAGAACATCAACGTTTTTGTGACATTAAATTTAGTACAAAGAAAATACCTAAAAATTAAAAGTGAAAGAACTAAAAAAAATAGTTGAAAAGAAACTTTACTTTATTAAAAACTATTGCACATGCATAAAAAAAAAAAGAAATTTATAAAAAATTCTAAAAGTTTCATTTTTCAATTTAGTTAAGTGCCAAAAGAATTTCTTTCTTCTATTCATTCAATATCTTAATGTCTCTCATAAGTTTTTGTAACTTGAGAAAAAATTTTTTTTTTTAAATATAATTTTTTAAAACTTTAATTTTAGGTTGTTTTTCAAATCTAATATTCGCCATCTACTTAAACACCAGTAAAATATTACAATTCCCTTTTGGAATCACTTTGAGAAAATGAAAAATATTAGAAATGTTAAAAAAACCAAAATAAAAGGCATTCATTTTAAGGTTTTCGAACTCTCAAAAGAAAGGGGCATTTAAGGATTGTGGGATAGAGCAAAAATTCTTGCTAAAATTAACATTAATTTAGATTAAACAAGTAACAATATGCGATAATATAAAAATAATTGAAAACTTGTTTCTAAACTTTCTTTCTGTCATCTTTTTTTTTACAAAAACAACTCTGAGAAACCTAAAATAGTGACCGTGCCCTAAAATAAATCATACCAATTTACAAAATATTCATCGTTTACTAAAATTAGTTATAGCAAGTAAGTTTAAATCAAACAAATGTTTTGTAAAGTAGCACATTTCCCTTCAACAATAATGAAAAAATTTAAAAACAAAAACAATCTTTTATTTAAATTATTCTCATTAATATACCAACATTGCATATATTCGGGATGAGAACAATTAACTCTTCGAAAATCGAATTCGAAAACACACTAAGTTGGAATGTAAATTTTACTAAGTCAAAAAATATAATTATTTTGTTACATTTTGTGGAAAAATGTGGAAACAAAAATTTAAATTTTGCAAAACTCAATGGGAGGAAGTGAAAAATAATTTTCTGACAATAAATAAAAAGAAATATGTTTCTTAAATTCGGATAAATTGATAGTCGGAAAGGTGGACGAACAAACAGGATGGAACTAATAGGAACATATCAAATTTTTTCACATTTTAAGAAAAAACAATCAATCGAAAACCTACTTATGTTTGTAGAATTCAAAATTGCCTTACTTTTAAAACACAATAAGCTCTAAATCTGATATTTTTAAAATTTTGTTGAGGTAAGTATAAATTTAGAGAAGGAGAAGATATAATTGAAAATTTTATTTTGAATTTTTGTGATGCACAAACTTCAAATTAAAGCTAATAGGTAAATTTTTTCAATAATTTTTCAAAAAATGTTAAAACAAGGTAAGTGCGACAAATTTAAAATTAAAACATTTTTTTTACCCTTTCTTAGTAACTCTAATCTTGACATTTCAATTTTAGCTATAAAACGTGAACTCTTACATAATTTACATATTGCAAATATTTCGAAAAAATGTTAAAACCCGTTTTTTTAACAGCAACAACTATATAAGTGATTAACGTTTGCTTTATTATCAAATAAAATGAATTCGATCATATAGTAACAGGTAATTTAACGCAAAGATAGATTTCAAATTTTAGCTGGTTTAAACAAAATACATACATATGTATGTAGATACAAATCTAGCTTAAGAATATGAATGCGTGAAAACGTTTACTTTATCAGCCCATGTTCACCGCACAAGTTTTAAACTCCACTTTTGGAATTTACTCAACCTATTTCTATACAATTTCTGCTCCTTTAAGGATTATAATTTACTCCTTTCAAGAAGTAAAAAAAATGTACATACCTATATCACAAAAATGCAATTGTGGCTGCATACATTGCAAACAAGTATTGAAAAGAACACAATATGCAATAATATAAAGTAATGTACAGTTGGTGTAATCTAGTTTTAATATACCACAAATCTATTTTTTTTAATGTTTTTGTTCTTAAATGCGGATTTTGTGGTTTTAAAACACATGGTGTCCCATAGAAAATAATATCATTCCTTTAAAAATTTTATATACCAGGCTATTGCTTGTACATAATTTAATTCATATTTTTTTAAAAATAAAATTAATTTAATAAAGCAATTTCTTTTTAATTAATTTATAAAAAAGAAACGCGTTCACCACGCATATAAATCTAAAAATGGATCATCTCCACTGGAATATTAACGTACCTACAAGGTCTTGAAACAATTATAAATTATGATTTGCAACATATCAAATTTCTTATCCAGAAACGGTTAATGAAAATGTAATGTAAATAACCTGCCGATTTAAAATTAGTGATAAAAGAATTATTAAAGTGATAAAAGAAATCAAACTTTAAAAAAAATATTACTAATGACTATGAGCAAATTCATTACTTAACTACATAAGTGTATAGACGACAAAATATTAAGAATTCATGATGATTTTATATACAATCAATGTTTCACATTGCTGGGATTTTCTTTAATTCTTAGTTCTTGTAGTAACTTTATAAAATTTCTTTTCTGAAATATTCAAAAGAAAAATTTTTCAAAATTCAATCCAGTCATATATTACCATAAACAAACATTTAAATACTCTTAAACTAAATAGTCGAATTAAATAAAATCAATAAGACTAATTAAAGATTAAAGAAAAAAATTACTAATTAAAGAAAAAATCACTATTAAATTAAAAACATAATTTAACTAGTTTCTAAATGTATTTCAGACTCCCTCCAATTTCTTTGTATCATTTCAACTATTTGCATATAAAGTGTTGACTTTGTAAAATAGTAGCCCACGCATACTAAAATAAAGCACCAAGCTAAATATAATAAATAATCAGGTTCTCGTTCAACTTTATTTGGTAGAGGTCCACTAAAATCTTCTGAAGTGACAAAAGGGGATGGTGCAACACTAGGAATATCTGTATGTCTTGTAACAAATTTTGCAAAATTATAAACTGTAGCTGCTGTATCATTGAATTTTACAACTGGTCTTCCTTGGTGAAAAAGTAATAAAGTTGGTAGGCCAACAATTCCAAAGTCTGTGTTAAAACTTCGAAAACGAAAAGCATTAATAGCTGCTACTCTAATATCAGGATATTGTTTTGCTAATGCATTGAAATGTGGGGCTACAATTGCACTCGCTGTACATGACTTGGCGTAAAATAGAATTAATGTGCAACTTCCTTCAACATTTCGCTTTGTTGAATTTCCGTGCGGTGCCAGTAATGTTATAACATCTTTAACTGATTCAACTATGTTAACAGTGCCATTACCTAAATTTGGTGCACACTTTACTTTAATTAACGGCCTTGGACCGGGCGCATTTGAGTTTGAAATATCAATTTCATCTTTTTGATTGAGGCCACAATTTCTAACATCCTTCAGTGAAACATAATCAATAAAGTTATAATTACATACACCGTTTCCCGCGTTCAATACCGATGAATTTTGCGAATCGTCATCTGAATCTTTCCTATTATCTGAATCATAATTAAAAAAATTCGCCCAAAATTGAAGTCCACGAAGTTCTATTGATTGAACTGTTATAGCTGCAAAGATTTTTTTTTAGTAAAAATTGTTTAAAATGTAGTTTTGAAATCTAACTCAGCAAAAGTACAAATCCAAGTCGAAAAATAAGCATTTCTTATTAAACTTATACGTCTTAAATTCTCTCAACTTTTGGAATTAATACAAATCAAAACAAAGATTTTGATTGTTTGCAGTGAAATTTGATAGATTGATTTGTCAACCTATAATGAAGTTTAGAAAGTATTTTCCTTTTTGTTTTTGACACTTCTGTAAAGGAAAAAGCGCTAACGTTGGCAAATATGAAAAGTACAATTAAATAAAAGTTATAAAAAATTGTAACTTAAGCAACCTAGTGTCCAGTTTTCATATAATAATATCCATTCCTCATTCAGTTTCTAATTTTGTATTTCCAATTTTACATTTCTCTTCTTATATCATCAAAAAGTTGAATTATAAGTTAAAATAAAATTTTACCATGTATACATAATAAATCTTCAAAATTGCCGGCATGTGATTGAAAAATTTGAAATTGAGCATATTAGACTCAAACTAGTATGTGTTTTATTAATATGTGACGTATGAAAATGGTGACATTCAATAATCAATAATCGGTATAAAGCACCTAGTCCTTGAAATTATACATGGTTGTAAAATAAATTTTGTCTACACATAAAATGTTATTAATTGGTTTTTTTTTTGTGCTGCGTTATATTTGGAGAAGTAAAATTTTCGAATTCATTTTACAATTTTAACACATAAACTTGCTAAAAATAGAAATAGTTCGAATATTTTGAACTAAACTTGCCATTTTATTAAAAAAAAATACTTAAAAAAAGTGTATTTCTTTACAATCTACTGATTTTCCGTTCAATAAATTTTGCTCAGTATAAATCCATTCTTCCAATAAACAAATCCATGTAATTTCCAGCAGAATTGACATTTCTTCCTGCTGACAGCTGTTGCGTATATTTTTTGACACTTCGTTTGAAAAAACTTGTTTCCAAAAATGTCACACACAAAATCTGTCATTTTTTCACACAACCAAATCCATGACAAAAACGGCTTGCTCAGTTTCTTCTTATTTCTTTTTTTTTTATCAAACTTCAAATTTTACCTACACTACATCAAAAATCACATATTCGCATATTTTTTATTCTCTTTCGCATAATCTTTTACTCTTTCTCATAAAAATTATTCTATTCTATTTCTCATTTTTTCGGTGGATTGTAGTTTGCTACAACTAATATGTTGATTTTATTAATACATTTCACATTCAACAGCTACAATATTTGACAAGGAAAAATATCAATACACTGGTAGTTGGCTGGTTGAATAAAAATATTTTCTCTCTTTATGTGCATTGGCGATGAGATTTTTGTATCGTACGGTTGGATTATTTGTTCAAGATCAATTTATCGCTGTAATATTCGCGCTTCTAAAATTTTAATAAAATAATTTAAAAAAGGTGAAAAATAAATTAGAAATGAAAATTAACTGGTATTTAATTTAAAGTAAAATAATAAAATTTAATTTTCTCAAAAATTAACAATAAAAAACATTTATTCATTCACGTAATATACATACTTATAATTGTTCAACATTTTTTATCAAATAATTATATCTACACAGTTTAAGTTATTTTTAAATAAAGTGCAAATATTAATCTCGGTATTTTCGGCATATCACCAAAATATCATAAATTTTTAAAGGAATAAATTATTAGTTTTAAAAATATTTTCAGAATATTGAAGTATGCTGTAAGTGAATCATATTTCAAACTTTATAGGCACGTACATAAGAATGTGTGTGTGTTTAATAAAACATTCAATTTATGGAATAAATAAAAGTTCAAAGCAATTTTTAAAAAGTGTTTCAAAATTATTTTGTATATAATATAATATTAATTAAGTTAATTCAAATATAATAAAATATAAATTAAATTATATTTAATCAAATATTTTAGATGGAATAAAAAATTTATGTTTGTCACTTATTTAGTTTTAGACTTTTTTATATTAATTTTTAAATGCATATACTACAAACATACCTACACGGAAAAGACCATTAGTGAGATAAAATTGATGTCTACTATATATATATTTTTATACAAAAACGGGACTCACATATTAAATATAAATATGTAATTGAAATTCTATACACATACATACGTACACACCTACCCCATATAATAAATTTATATATAGCTATCTAACCGGATAGGTGCATGATGGCATATTTAGTTTTGCATATTTTACATTTCTTTACCTAAAAGCCCCGGCTTTCGATATATTTAATACCCATAAGCAATGTGGATTATAATTTCTATATATACACACATTTTATCTTCTACCGATTTTCTATGTGAATACATTTGTAATATATAATGCTTACATATTATGTATGTACATTAATATTCCATATTTAAATTTCCAGACAAAATAACTTGAAATTATAAATTTATATAGAATATATATGTGTGTACATACATATACAAATGGATATAATATGCAAAAAACAATACACTTGCACGCTTAAGTAAAATTTGTCTGAGCGCTTCAGTTATTTTTTTTTTTTGTTTTTCCTTGTGGAACTACCATTGTGTTGGTGAATTTGTAGAATTTTTACATGATTCATTGATAAATTTTCTCAAACATAAAAAAAAATATTTTTTTCTTATGGCTACAATACTTTTTTTTTTACTTGTCATCCATTCTAAAAATTAAAAATAAGAAAGCCTAAAATTAAATTTTTTATTTTTTGTTCTTTTTTATATTTAAGAATATTTAAAACTAGTGCTCCAGAAATATTTTAATATCAAAACCAATAATATTATGTGTAAAAGAGTGTTTATAAAATAAGAAAAACCAAAAGAAAAATTGCATTTTTTAATAATTTCAAATATTTTAAAATTTTTATATTGCATGTGTAATATTGTCAATTTTAAGTGACATTCTATAAAATATTATAAGTTCTTTCTATAATAAAATCTAATATTATAATTTTCAATAAAGTAAAAATTATAATTCTTAAAATACGCACACATTTAATAATTCACCCGTCCTGTGTGCATAAGAGAGAATGTGTGTGTGTGTGTGTGTTTAATACCACATTAAAAGAATTATTAATAAAATTAAAAAGCGATAAATTGTAGATAGAATACAAAGCTCCAAAAACCACATAGCACAACTACAATAATATAAGCAGCAACAACTATATCTTTGCAATAAAAATAAAAAATATCCAGACATTTGGGATTTATGTATGATTGTAATGTAATAATATAAGCAACTACTGAAGAGCAACAAAACAACAAAACCAAATTTGGAAATTTTAATAATAAAAAACAATTATTGAAATATTAAAGATATAATTAAATTTATTTTGTTTTTGGATTCAAATATATTAAATTTTTCGGTTTAATTAAATATATCATACTATTGCTTTAAAATTTAACAGTAAATACAAAATATTTCAATGGATGTTAACAAAAATTTTGGTTAAATCGAATATCGCATGAATAAAATATTTAAAGTATAATGTATGTAGTTCTCTAATAAATTTTGAGGCATGAAAAACTACAAAGCAACAAGAAATAATCATTAACATAAAAACAAGAAAAAAAAACAGCCAGCTGGTTAATTTTTGTTCAAAGATAGCCAAAACAAAATATGTATCTGTGTATGTGTGTGCATGTAATTTTTTAGTATTAAGGCTTACGCATGTCGCTTTACATATATAAATAGCAACAATAAATATTAAACTTGCAACAAAATTTGTAATAACAAAACAAAAACAAAAAAATTATAAAGTGAAATAAAAGCGGCGCTACAAAAATATTTTTTTATTCAATTTTGTTTGCTATAAGAAAAATTAACAAAGAAATTACAAAAATACATATTTTAATATTTTATTTTTAATATTATAATCTACTATTTGTATACAATGATATAATATTGCAAAAAAAAATAAATAAGAAAAATTTTATTCGGCCTTTTGGTTCTAAGTGATATAAGAGAGCACAAGTGTTATATTTATGACCAATAACTTAAATTTTATATGCATCAACAAAACAAAAATAAATCAGTTGTTCTCTTAATACTTGTTTCTTATATACACAAACACACAATATACAAGTAGAACACAATCGTTAACAAAAAAACTCTTGTTCTCTTCAAGTGTAGAATACCATTTAAGTATTTCAACAAATTCTGATAGCTACAAGGAAAATATTAAAAAACAAAACGCTTCAAGAAAAAAAAAACAACAATAAATTTTAATCCATTACATTTTATATAAGTACAACCAGCATACATACATATATAATAATATTACTAACAAAATCAAGTTTATATATTGTTTTCTCATATTGTGTGCATAAATATATATATATTTTTTTTATAAATCTCTTTTTAATAAAAGTATCTTATATCTCTTTCCAATAAAAATAAGAAGAGAAAGAAAAAACAATCTTTTTTAAGTAAATATGAAATGAAAATTAAAAAATATAGTTGTTTTTTTGTGTGTATTTTTTAAATTTATATAAAGCAGTGTTGCCATATCTTTAATAACAAATTAAAATTTAAAAAAATTACTTACTTAAATTTTAAAAAAATATTAATTAAAATAAATTATTTTTTATTTAGTTAAATTTCTTGCTTTTTAAATTAGTTAAAATTAATATTTGTTTGTTTAGTTTATTCTCGCATATTAATATAATAATTAATTTATAGTCTAATACAAGGTGAATATTAAAAAAATTGTTTATTAAAAAAATAAAGAATCAAAAAAAAAATCGTTTAATCTTTAATTTTTAAATAATCTTTAATAATTTAATTTTTAATTCTAAATTTATTTTCTACATTTTGCCTAATTTCTGTTTATTTTGTATGTTTTTAAAACAGTGAGAATAGTTAATTTTCATAGGTGGTAGTAAAATAAATTGCAATTTTTATCAATTAAAAATCAATTTTATATTATTTTTTTGTGTTAAATAATTATTTTTAAAGTTTTTTTTTTTACAAAAGTGATTAAAATATAAAAAAATTAAGTATTTAATTATATTTTAGAAGAGAATTAAATTTAAAAAAAATAAATAAAAATGCGCGAATTTAAAGTTGTTGTTTTGGGTAGCGGTGGTGTTGGTAAATCAGCATTAACTGTACAATTTGTATCCGGATGCTTTATTGAGAAATATGATCCAACAATTGAAGATTTTTATCGCAAAGAAATTGAGGTAAGTTTTTTTAAAATTAATTTTAATTGTTAATTAAAATGAATTAGCCTGCTCATTTATTAATTATATTTTTTCTTGATTTTATTGTAATTATACAAAAAAATTCACATAGATATTTATATACATACTATGTAATATATAAAATGAATGAATATTCAATTTTTTTTTACGATAACATGAATTAAATTGTTGGAATCCTAAAAAAATTTTAAATATTGGACTTAACCAATGAGTCATATTTAAATTTATATTATTTTTTTAGTGATTATTTATATATACATATATATATATATATATATATATATATATATATATATATATATATATATATATATATATATATATATATGTATATATATATATATATATATATATATATATATATATATATATATATATATATATATGTATATATATATACAAGTGTACAACTTCATATAAAAGAGTACTTTCATACTTAAGTTTATATATGTACGAATTTAAATACAAAAGTATTCCCATGAGAATATTGATATAGGGGAGGTAGGTAGATATGTAGCTACCGTATATTATGTATATTAAAATATAGGAGTATTTTTACAAAACGTAATATTTATTATGCATAATAATAACTTCTATAGTCAGGTTATTGATTTGTGTTGTTATGTGAAAATATTTTCAATAATTTTTTAGTTCGTTTTTTTTTTTTTTTGATTATTGAAATTGCATATATAAAAGAAAGGAAATTCAATAAAAAATATTACGTTGGTAAAGTTATAACTAAGTATTGTGCTATTTTAAGAAACGAACCCTAATTAGAAAATAGTTAAAAAAAAAGAAATAATAACACACTGAACGTACGTGCTTAATAAATAAAATTGAGATCAATGGCAGTGCGACTAATTATTCTAGAGAAAATTAAGGTTTTAACTTTGCCACAAAATTTTCCTAATTTAAATAATTAAAAATTAAAGAATCAATTTATAATTACAAAGTATAATTACTTAAATATTAAAAAATTAAGCATATTAATTGACGACTCGAATGGAAGACGGTGCTTTCATATCTTTCTTTTATAAAACTCTGTTTTCTCATAACTAAAGCGGTTTCTGAGATACCAGAAGTTCTAAAGTGTAATACCCAGAAAAACATCTGATAAAAAAACTTTGACTTTAATTAACTCAAAATTTTACATTAATATCATAACACCTTCTCCTATTCGAATCTTCAAATTAGTATAGGTAATGATTTTAAGTCTTTTACGATTCGAAAGATTGTGCCAGTCGTAAAAAAGACGTACTTAAAACTTATTTTCTAAAAAATATGTGATCGAAAATTTATATAAGCAGTATGCCGATATATGCCGATTTTTACGTACATACATATATAAATAAGTGTATTAAGTACTTATATTCACAAACTAACTAAAGTGTTGGCCATAACTTGAAATTATTTTATTACTCTTTAGTCTATATAACATAATTTTCTTTAAAAGTTTTCAAATCGATTTTATTTCTGTTATTTTTCTTTGGCTTTGTTACGCAGACTTTCAGACGCCATAATTTGAACAACTTGTGGCCACAAATTTGATTGGAGTCGTCCTAACATAATTTTTAAAAATTCTATGTATGTGAATCTACTTTTAAGTACTTAATCTGTAGATAAAGTTAATTTAAATAACTATTAAAGTAATGTTATTACAATATTTTTTTTTATTTTTGCAAAGTGAGGAAATTGTAAGTAATTTTGAAATTTCTAACGTCATATTTTTTTATTTATAATATTGTTAAATAGGAAAGTTTATAAAGTTTAATATAGTATTTCTTGCCAGCAAATACTTAAATCTTATCTAAAACAGAATTTATCTTTAATTTAAGTACTTAGATATTCACATATGAATGCGTACTTGATATCACAATATACAAAAGTTTTTATTAAAAAAAAAATTTTATTTCATCGTTTTTTGAAAAATTCTAGTCAAAATTTCGTTATCATTTTTATTTTTTTCATTTACAATAGAATTTAATCTTCATAATCTTAACTATAAGTAAAATATTTTTGATAATTATTGATAAATACCTTCACTATGTCCGAAATTTTGCTTCACACAAAGGTTTTTTGTTTACTTATCTATTTATAAAATTCTAACTACTTACGGTATTTAAGAGCTTTTCAAAAAATATCGCTTATCTTTTTTTTTTTTTTAATTTATTTATCATATTTTAAAATATTCTTATCATTTCCGTACAAAATTTTAGTTCACACAATTAAAATAAAATCAAAATGTATTCAACTAGAGAAAACTAGACAAGAGACAAGAAGTTACACTCGTAAGTTATTGTAATAAAATCTGAACAAAACAAGAGCCAATGAATAATTGTACTTATCTATTGAATTAAATTAATTAAATAATAAAAGTACACAATTAATTATATAACACAAAAGCCAAATTAATCACATTTGGAAAACAAAATATAGAATAAAATTTGGAATAACAAAATAAATTGCACGATTCCGTAAAAAAAAATTTAAATTTACTTATAGATTACTAATTCTACCACGACTTTTATTAATATTTCTTAAAACTTGTAGAGGACGACTTGACAATAAACAAAATTGAAATGTAATTGATGTCGATTTTTCCAAAAAAAAAATTCAATGTAACAAAATTTGAAATCAAACATTGCCTTAGTTTAAATTTCATTCAGATGAAACGTAAATTTTTGCCAAGGGAACTACTTTATGAATTTATAACAATGTTAAATTCTTATAAGTATATACTTACACAGTTTTTAAATCGAATTTACAACAAAAATATTTGACATGAGACTCTTCCATAATACTTTTTCAAAACCCAGTTTAACAATCAACTTTAGCGATAAAAATGTATTAAAAAATAATATTAAAATTATTTTAATTTAAGCAAATTTTACCAAAATGATAATCACTATATAAAATTAAATTTATTACTAAAATATTTCTTGATTAGAAAATTCTTATATATTGTCAGTAAATAACTTAGTTTCAACAATAATATAACAGGCGAATTCAGACTAGAGATCAAAAACACAAAAAAAAAAATAAAAATTCATTTGAACTAAACAAATTTAATTTTTATTTGCATTTCTCATAATTATTGCTAATAATATTTAATTTTATTTAAAATTTTATTAATAATATAACTATATTGAAATTGAAGAAACTTAGGGCTTACGAGTCTGTTTCAATATTTGAGTGTGTTTGAATACGTCTGTATATTTACTGAATAGTATGAGCGTAGGCATTGCAAAGTAACAATTGATGGTCATAAAATTTTTGTAATAACCATAAGATTTGTAATTTAATATATATACTTCTTATGGTAGGAGGAGAATGGGGGTCAACATAGAAAAACCTGGAAACTAGAACAATTACAAAATAAAACCAGAGCGAATGCGGGAAAATATGGGCAGAAATCAAAAGAATGCTTATACATATATAAAAGACCCCACTATCTTAAGCATCGTAAATGTGTAATAGAAAATTTAATACGACCGAGTACATATTTATATACTTACTTATAATTAAGAAAAACTAACCATTACAAAAAATATTTTCCCAAAAAAAATGAAAAAAAAATTGCAAAGCAAACTGACAGATAATAAATCAATAACAAAAAACAAAAAGAAAAAAAAACCTGCAAAATAGACAAAAATACAAAATCTAATGATCAAGCGTAGTTTGCGTTTTTATTTTTTATTTCATACTCCCATAAGTAATTGATGACTTGTTTTTTTTTCGCACACATTCTCATTAAAATAAAATTTATTAAGAGTTATACGCTCCAGGTGTAAGCATAATAATTTGTTTGGACCAAATAAAAATATTAATTCAAAAAAAAAGAAAAGAAAAAGTGAAAAAAACGCGCCAACAAAATAATTTAGAAATTATTTTGAACCACACACAATCTATCTTGTTCGAAATCTTAATTGGAGCTTACTTACTTATTTCTTTTTTTTAATTCTCATTGTATATTCAACGTCTTTGCTATGATGATTTTACTTGCTCACCTA